AAAAAAAAAAAAGAGGATTGGCAGATGTTAGCACAGGGCTGATCTCCTCACACACACAAAAAAAATTATAAATAAAATTTTGGTGTCCATCTGGCCAGAGTTTTATATGCATTAATAAATATCCTTAGGAATTGAAACTTTTTAAATTAACAGCATAGGGATCATACTTTACATACAGTTTTATATATTGCCTTTGTGGCTTATTGTGAGCATTTTTCCATGTTGTTAAATGTTCTTCAATAATGTCTTTTAATTGCTACCTAATATTTTATATTTATTTAGCTATTCCTCTATTGTTAGACATGTGGATTTCTTTTTTTCTCTTGTAAACAAAACTACCATAATAATCTTTTTTGTTGGTGGTGAGTAAGATTGTCCCTGAGCTAACATCTGTGCCAATCTTCCTCTATTTTGTATGTGGGACGCCACCACAGCATGGCTTGATGAGCGATGTGTAGGTCCACACCTGGGATCCAAACCTGCAAACCCCTGGCCGCCAAAACAGAGCACACAAACTTAACCACTATGCCACAGGGCCAGCTCCTACAATAATAATCTTTGTACATGAACTTCTGACCATTTCCTTATGATAAGTAGGACTGTTCTTTTGTTGCTTAATCGCAGTGGTCATTCTCCTTCTTCATCTTAGTGGGCCTGTTAGCAGCATTTGCCACAGCTGCCCAGTACCCCTCCTTGAAATGCGTTCTTCACAGACTTGCTCCTCCTCTGGGTTCACTAGCCACTCTTGCATTCTCCTTGGCTGGTGCTTCTTTGTTCCCTGACTTCTTAGTATTGGATGCCAGCCCTTGGAGATCAGCCCTTGGACCTCTCTCTATATATACCCACCCCATTGTTGATTTCATTTAATTTTGTGACTTTTTGTTCTTTCATTTAGTTTTGTGACTTTTATCTCCTCTGCGTGGATAATTCTCAAATTTATATTCCAGGCCTGGTCCTCATCCCTGAATGCTACATCGGTAGAGGCAACTGCCACTCTATGAATCTACTGGGATGTCAGATAGACACTTCAGGGCCGGCCCCGAAGCATAGTGGTTAAGTTCAGCACACTCCACGTCAGTGGCCCAGGTTCACAGGTTGGGATCCCGAGCACAGACCTACACCACTTGTCAGCCATACTGTGACCACGACCCACATACAAAATAGAGGAAGATGGGCACAGATGTTAGCTCAAGGACAATCTTCCTCAAGCAAAAAAAGAGGAAGATTGGCAACAGATGTTAGCTCAGGGTGAATCTTCCTCAGCAAAAAAAAAAAAAAAAAGGCACTTCATACCTAACATGTTCAAAATAAACCCCTAATTTTCTGCCCCAAATCTCTTCCACGCACAGTCTTCCCCATCTCAGCAGATGGCTCTTATCCCCTCTATATACTCAGGCCAAAAAGCTTAGAGTCATCTCAGACTCCTCTCTGTCTTCCACATCCTATTTCCAATCCATCGGCAACTTCAGTCAATCTAGACTTCACTGCTCCTCACCACCTCCACTGCTAGCACCTAGTCCAAGCCACCAAGGTGAGACACTACCCACCAAGTGAGACATCGCTCACCTGGATGCTGTCATGGCCTCCTCAGTGGTCTCCCTGCTTGTGCCCTTTCCCCACATCAGTCTATTCACACAACAGCCAAATAATCCTGTTGACATTTAAGCCTGCCTATGGCTTTCCACCTCATGTGCTGTAAAAGGCCCTGTGTGATCCGACCCAGTTTCCTCTGTGACTTCATCTCCAGCCACTCTTCCCTCACTCCCTCTGCTCCAGCCACATTGGCCTCTTTGCTTTTTCTCAAATACACCTGACAAACTCCCACCACAGGGCCTTTGCACTTGCCGTTCCCTCTGCATAGAACTTTCCCCTGCATGTACACATGGCTTGCTCCTTCATCTCCTTCGAGTATATGATCAAATATCTCAGCAAGACCCACTCTGATCACCCCATTTTTTTTTTTTTTTTGTGAGGATGATCGGCCTGGAGTTAACATCCAATGCCAATCCTCCTCTTTTTGCCGAGGAAGATTGGCCGTGGGCTAACATCTGTGCCGATATTTCTCTACTTTATATGGGATGCCACCACAGCATGGCTTGACAAGCAGTGCATTGGTGCGAGTCCTAGATCCAGGCCTGCGACCCCCGGGCCACTAAAGCGGAGCGCGTGCACTTAACCGCTACGCCACCGGGCCAGCCCCTGATCACCCCATTTAAAACTGTATTCCAACATTCTCTGTCCTCCCTTCCCTGCTTTATTTTTGTCTATAACACTTATCACTAACATATTATAGATTTTACTTATTCTGTTTATTGCCTGGCTCACCCCCTAGAATGTAAACTCCACAACGGAATTTTGTCTGGTGTGTTCACCACTGTGTCCCCAGAGTCTGGCACATGACAGATGCTCAGTAGCTGATTGTTGAATGAGTGAATGAGTGAGCAGTGAGCAAGTGGATTTCCTGTAGCCCTCCGTTTCTTGCAGCTCCATTTCATCCCTCCTCCTCCTCTGTGTCTCTGACACGACCCAGTCCTAGCCCTGGCCCTGCTTACCTCTGACCATGCCTCCCTTTGCTTTTCTGCATTCCTTTATCTCTCCTGACCGCTGACTAGGTATCCTCAAAGATTACATGTTTAAAGCTCTGTGCCTCAAAGAGCTCTTCCATCCTCTTGGCTTCACTATGACCACATGCTGCTCTCACTCAGAGTCCTACCCACTACCTCCTGTCCCTGATCCTATGTCTCTTCGGCGGCCTTGGGTTTCACTTACTCTGGCCCAGTAGTTAACCTTGACAAACCTTGGGTTCCTCATCTATAAAATAGGAGTTATTAAAATAGAAAATATGGGGCCGGCCCCGTGGCGTAGCGGTTAAGTGCACCCGCTCCGCTGCTGGCAGCATGGGTTCGGATCCTGGGTGCGCACCGACGCACCGCTTGTCAGGCCGTGCTGTGGCGGCGTCCCATATAAAGTGGAGGAAGATGGGCACGGATGTTAGGCCAGGGCCAGTCTTCCTCAGCAAAAAGAGGAGGATTGGCATGGATGTTAGCTCAGGGCTGGTCTTCCTCACACACACACACAAAAACCCACATCCATGTCCATGACTTCACTCCCCCTTTCAGAAATCTTCACTAGTTCCCCATTTCCTACTGATGCCAAATCTAAACTCCTCTGCTCAAATGGTTCTTTAAAAACTCTTTTTATGAAGCTATTGTTTATTTATTTTTATTAAGCTCTTTATTACATAGCATTGTCAATGACTAGATTTTCAAACAATTATATATAATTAGATCAAGACTTAAAGCAGAAGTAAAAAGAGGATGGACAGGACGAAATCCAGCCCAATAATATATTTCATGTTTCATATATTTTTTAAATTGAGCTATCTTTTTCAAATAAAAATCCAGATTTCTATAATTTTATTTATTTATTTATTTTCCCCCCAAAGCCCCAGTAGATAGTTGTGTGTCATAGCTGCACATCCTTCTAGTTGCTGTATGTGGGATGCAGCCTCAGCATGGCCGGAGAAGCCGGGCGGCGTCCGTGCATGCCTGGGATCCGACCCCAGGCTGCCAACAGCAGAGCGCGCGCACTTAACCGCTAAGCCACGGGGCCGGCCCTAAAAATCCAGATTTCTGATTTACCTTAAAAATGGGAAGATATAGGATACTGGAACCACATTCTCATGTGAAAAAACTTGGTTAGAGCTGAGAAGAGGTTGCCACTTTAGCGGGGCCACGCGCTCGCCAGTTTGTCAGAGTCCCCACCACTCCCTATCATACCACACTGGCTCCCTGGACGCACTGATGTCATCTAACAGGCCCTTAAAGGCACTGAGTTTGCAACCCCTTATTTACAGAATATAAAGAACTAGGTACCTCTCTCATTACTCATAAACCAGCATTATTTGGTCAAGCCCTGGTTTTCCTCTGCTTAAAATAGAGCAAATTCACACTGAATTTCTTCAATGCCCTCTGTAATATGCTCCCATTCTGCCATTTGTTCACTTCATTCATTCATTCAACACACATTTACTGAATGCCTGTGTTGTGCCAGGGACTCTGCTGAACCCTGGGGCTGCAGAGCTGACGAGGACAGAGTCTCGTTTTCCCAAGCGAGTCACATTTCTCTGAGCTGACCTTATTTATCAGGCTTCCCAGCCACGGGGTGAACTCTGCCAGCTAATGTCTGCTCCATCCCACAAACAAAGGTGCATTTATTCGTATCCCTGGTGTCATTCCCTGCCCCTGTTGTCAGCTCGCTCTCTCTGGAGCTGCTCCAAATCACACCCAGCCTGAAAGGCTGCTTGGTGCAGTGGAAAAGGTGGCAGACACGGGACAAGCTGGTAGATGTGGGGTAAATTACTCCCCTACCCTGGGTTTGATTTCTTCACTATAAGCACAGATTACCAGTCTGGAGTCAGACTGTCTAGGGCTGAATGACTTCGGGCAAGTCACTTAACCTCTCTGAGCTTCCTCATAGGTAAAATAAGGATAAGAGGGTATTTAGGACCTCCGGTAGTGTGGCGGTTAAGTTCGTGCATTCCTCTTAGGTGGCCCAGGGTTCGCGGTTCAGATGCTGGGCGCGGACCTACTTACTCACCGTTCATCAAGCCATGCTGAGACGGCGTCCCACATAGAGGAACTAGAAGGACCTACAACTAGGATATACAACTATGGGCTTTGGGGAGTAAAAAAAAAAAGAGGAAGATTGGCAACAGATGTTAGCTCAGAGCCAATCTTCCTAAAAAAAAAAAGAGGGTATTTATCTCCTAGGGTTGTTGCAAGAATTGAGTGACATAAGTCATATAAAGGGCTTAGCACAGTGCCTGACATATAGTAAGTGCTTACTAAATGTTAGCTAATAGTAATGATGACATTTGGTAACTCTAAGCCCCCACTCCTCCTGGAGGCCTCCCTGGTTATTTTAACTCCTGTGGGACTGTCCCTCCTCCAAACTCTGCTGTCCTTCACAATCAGTCGTGTGAGTTGTGCTCTGTCTTGGGCACTGTTTTGTACAGGCCTGAGGACTGGATCCTTGTCTGCCACTGTATCAGTGCCTGGTACCTCGTAGCAGGAGCTCAATCAGTGTTTGTTCAACTCCAGGTCTCCAGTAATGAACCAGCCATGGCTGCTGCAAAGGCTCCCGCCCTTTCAAGAGCAGCTGAGATGAGGGCAGCCACGCCCTGAGTAGAGTGGGCCAGGACCAGTCCAGGGCAGGGGAAAGGGATTGGGTTGTTCTTGGGCTGAACATCAACTCTGTTCCTGGAGAGTCCAGAATAGAGACCCCCTTCCCCTGGGCTCGTTCATTCTCTGGAAAGGCAGGTAGATATCTAGTTGTTTGCCTCTGCTTTAACAGGCCCTCCGTGCCCTTCAGGAGGAACAGGTCAGACTAAAGATGAGGCTGCAGGAGCTGAAGCAGCTCAAACAGGAGCTAAGGGACTCCCCCCAAGACAAGGTAAGCTGGGAGAGGGAGTGTGGCCTGGTAGAAAGAACTTGAGAATTCTTAGTTTCCCCCCTGTCTCTGCCACTTCCTTGTTGTGTGACTTTGAGTATGTTATTTGAACTCTCTGAACCTGTTTTCTTGTCTGTAAAGTGGAGCTACCTACCTCGAAGGCTCATGTGAGGACAAACTAAGATCTTTTATGTAAAGTTCATCCACTCATTTATCCAGTTCTTCCGTCAATAAATGTATTCATCCCTGGCACTCAGCATCAGTCACATGGAACTAGAGACACTTTCCGCCTGGGAGGGAGTGGGGGACTCTCCCACCCTTGAAGGCTGCATCAGCCTCCCCTCCCCCACCTCTAGGTCCCATTCCCAATGCCTGAGGTCCCCCTGGTGTTCCGCGGACACACTCAGCAGGGCAGGGAAGTGCCCAAGTCCTTGGTTTCCAACCTACGGATCCACTACCCTCTGCCTGGAGGCTCTGCTCTGGTCACCTTTGATGACCCCAAGGGTGAGCTCTGGGGGAAGCCTTGGGAGGGAGGCTGGGCGGCTTCCCAGTACTGACCCTGCTCCCCCTACCCAGTGGCCCAGCAGTTGCTACAACAAAAGGAGCATAAGATCCTCATGGAAGAGTGCTGGCTGCCGGTGCAGGTCCAGCCCTTGGAGCTGCCCATGGTGACCACCATCCAGGTGCGAGAACTGCAGGGTCCCAGGACATGCAGGGGGCACCATGCACCTGGGTGTAGGGGAGTGGGGCTGTGCCTGGGACCACTCCTTCCTGTCTCCTCCTAGGTGTCCAGCCAGATGAGTGACCGGAAAGTACTGGTCAGCGGGTTTCCTGCCAGTCTCAGGCTGAGTGAGGAGGAGCTGCTAGACAAGCTGGAGATCTTCTTTGGCAAGACCAGGAATGGGGGTGGTGATGTGGAGACTCGGGAACTGCTGCAAGGGGGTGTCATGCTGGGCTTTGCCAGGGATGGAGGTAAGGGCCTTGCCGGGGAGATTAGAGCAGATCCATCAGGCTATGGGAGAGGAGAGCCCTTGATGCTAAAGGGGTGCCCCTCCCTGTCCCTGCAGTGGCCCAGCGCCTGTGCCAGATTGGCAAGTTCACAGTGCCACTGGGTCGGCAGCAGTGCCCTCTGAGAGTCTCTCCCTACATGAGCGGGGAGATCCAGAAGGCCGAGGTAAGTGGGAAGATGGAGAATGGAGGCTGGGCCAGCTAACCTGTCTGCCTGCCAGAAACCTGCCCAAGGAAGGATCGGAGCCCCCAAACCCCACTGACCTACCTGCTGCCAGCCTCTCTAGGCCTCCTGCCTTGCTCCCGTGGGCACTGGCTGCCCCAACCTCTGCCCCTGGCCCCTGATTCTTATAAGCCTTTGCCCCTCTCCCGGCTCCTTTTCCAGATCACGTACCGGCCAGTGATCCAGTCAGTGCTGGTGCTCAACATTCCTAACGTCCTGGACCCCCCGGAGCTGCATGATATCCTGGAGATTCACTTCCAGAAGCCCACCCGTGGGGGTGGAGAGGTGGAGGCCCTGACAGTCGTACCCCAGGGACAGAGGGGCCTGGCGGTCTTCACCGCCCAGTCGGGCTAGGAGCCTGCCCTTCTCATCTGCCAAGGTTCTCAAACCAGGCTGGGGTTGGGTGCACGTGTATGAGAGAGCTTATGCTGGTCAACAGCGGGCAGGGATTATGAGTTGTGAAACGTTGCCCGGGAACAGTAAAAGTGCCTGCATAGTGTGATCTTCTTCCTCATTTCAGTTCATGAAAGGAAACTTGATTTGGGCATGGAAGGCTGTGGGGGAGGGAAGAAACCCTACCCTTCCACTATCAGCACTGGCCTTCCAAGAGCTCACCTTCCCCTCCACTCTCAGAGGCAACATCCAGGACCCAGGGTTTGGCTTTTTATTGACACAAACACAAAGGCAGCTTCGGTAATGGGGTGGGGTTCACAAAAGCAGAAATCGCACTTCCCCCCATTAGGCCTCATGAAGAGGATGAGCCCCTCCCCCACCTCCCAATGGCAACGGCTGGGGCAATAACCCTCCCTAATTCTAACTCAGAGAGCAGAGGGAGTTACACCTCTACCCCAGGAAGTCCCCACTTTGGTTCCAATGGCCCAGGTCCTAAACCACTCCATTGACTCCCCTGCACCATCTCCCCACCCATATAAACAAAGTTTGGGGGCCGAGTTTGAAAAGCTGCCTCTCTGCTCTGAGAAGGCAGTGGGCCTCCCCTGACGACATGGGCATGTGCTTTGAGTTTTACTTTGGTCCCAGAACAAGACACAGACAGCACTGCCTCTCAGAGCTCTGGCTAGTAAATGCCACACCTATCTGCAAGGCTGAGAAAGCTTCCCAGCCTCTTTCTCCTCAACCACCACAGAGAAATGACAGCCCCAGGGACAGGACATAGCACAGACCCTGGGAGGCTAGGGGCTGGCCCCCCACCCACTGGCACACACAGATTTTTGGCAGTGTTGTGGGACTGGGGGGGAGCAAAACCCCAGCTCCACCAGAACAAAGAAGGCACTGGGGAGAACAGGGGTGGAGAAGGAGGTGTGAGACAGGGACCCCCCCACACATACACAAGCACAGGTTTTCTGTTGCTAAGGCACTGAGAACAAATCCAGAGAACTCAGTGAAGGGTGGGGGGCTCTGTGTCCCTCCAGCAGAGTCGTGGCCTAGGGGAGCAGGCCTGATTCCCTCCCTTGTAAGAGGCAACCTTGGTTAGGAGTGGCAGAAAACCTGGAGGTGGAAGAAGCCCAGTTGTGCTTAAGAACTTGGGGACGGAGGACGAGGCCATGCAACGAGGCAACAGAGTTCAGAGGTGGGCGCTGTCGGCCCAGGTTGAAGGGACACTAGAGCGAGACAGGGACATGCTGGACTCACAGAGATCGGCCCCACATCCTGAGCTGACATTTCAATTCTTTGGGGAGGTGGTGGGGCAGGGGCAGGAGGGGAGGTGAGGCGGAGGCGGAAGCACACAGAACAGGACGGAAGGGACTGGCTGACCTTGGCACAAAAGCAGCACAGCAGGCCCGGGGGAGGGTGGGGGCAGGAAGCAGCCAGCCTCCCTCTGACCCTCCCTGTCCCCTTGGCAGGGCCCAGACATCCAAGTGGTCACTTCCCAACCTCTTCAGAGGGCAGGTAGCAGGGAGGGGGCAGCCCTGACTAAAGAGAAAGAACAGGGCAAGGGAGAGGTCATCACCACGAAGACCTTCAGGGGAGGGAGGGCAGAGCATTACGATAGAGGATGAAATGCTGCGAGAGTCTGAGGGCCAACAAAACTTGGCTTCCCAGCGTCTCTCTTCCCGGGTCTGAGGGTCTCCCAGCCCCCACACTAGTTCTCCTTCTCTGGTCCAGGCACCAGGATGACTTTGCCCACATTCTTCTTCTCCTGCATCTGCCTCATGGCATCCGCCACCTGGTAGAGGAAGACAAGACTGCTCCCAATGCCATCCAGCCCCTCCAGAGAGCCAGCCTAAAGGAGTCAGCCCTCCTCTTCCCAGGAATCCTACCCCTGGGACCCCAGCCTTCACGGGTTCTACCCAGGCCCTCCCTGTAGAGCCATCACACTCACCTTCTCGAAGGGCCACACCGAGTCAATGTGGGGTTTGATGTGGCCCTGGTTGTACAGAGCCAGGAGGCGGGCCACCACCCCACTGACCAGCTCCACCTCGCCCTCCAGGTAGCCCAGGTGGAAGCCGCACACAGCTCGGTTGGCCGGCAGCAGCTGTAGAGCTGTCACGCTGAACTGATTCCACCACGTGCGTGCCAGGGCCATCAGGTTCCGCTTGGGGCCCGTCAGCAAGTTGGCCATTCCTGAGGGACGAGGAGACACAGCCTGTGAATCCAGGTGCCAGGCACATCCCTGTGTGTCTGGATCTGTGCTTTGTCTGCTCCTTGCGGGCCCCTTACCATTATCCACACCAGCGCCAGGGAGTGACAGGATAATACCCCCCTGCTGGCCACCGGGCCCTAATGGACTCCAGCTGACTCAGAAATTGCTCTAATATTTATTTGTTTGTTTATTTTTTGAGTGAAATAGTTTTTTCAATGAAAATGCAGCTTGCCCAAGAAGCCCAGGAGGGTAGGACAGAGGAAGGCAGACTGGTTGATTTTGCATCAGGAATAATCCCCAAACAGAAGCGTAGAAAGAGCACAGAATTTACTGTGACTTGTATGAAAAGCTGTGAGAGAATGACAGTAGCTGCACCCAGGAGGCAGCCATCTGAGTGCAACAGCCAGGACCATCCTAACCCTGCTGCTCTCTCCAGAGCACCTGAGTCCCTGCTCCTTCTTCATTCAAAGCCCTGGGCCATCCCTCAGTCCATCCTGCTTCCCCTCATGGCCCCTCTCCATCCTCAGCCCACTGACTCACCATACGTGACCACTTTGCCCATGGGTTTGAGGAGGTTGTAGCCCTTGGCAGTATCTGACCCACCCAGAGGATCCATGACGATATCCACTCCTGTCACAGAGCAGGGGACCCAGAAACGGCATTAGAATCCACAGATCTGGAGATCCCCTCCCTGTCCCGTGCCATCCTACCCCTTCCCATACTCTGACCCCACCTTTGGGGGAGATCTTCTTGATCTCATCCACGTAGTCAGTCGTGTGGTAGTCGATGGGGTGTGTGACCCCGTTCTCCTTCAGCACCTCGTGCTTGCTGGCCGAGGCTGTTCCGAACACTGTCACATTCTCCACTGTGCGGCACAGCTGCACGGCAGCCATACCCACACCCCCTGCAGTAAGACATTTTCACAGGGAGGGGATATGGAGTCACCCCGCCACCACTCTCCATTCTTGCCTCTCGAGGACCCAGACCATCACCTTCCTTTTGCCTGGGCTCACTTTGAGGCTTTCTCCCCTCATCCCATGTCCAAAATCCATGATTAAGAATTGGAGGGAGGGTGGCTAGCAAGGAGCGGGTGCTGGGCGAGGGCACATTGCTATGGATAGCACACCAGGCTGGACCTGGTCCCTGAATGTTGCCACAGCAACAATACTGCAGAGGCCTCTGCGCACCATAAGCCCAGGCAGCCTGGTGTTGCCATGACAACAGTCCAGACAGGCTGCAGGGAAGGGGCCTGGAAGGAAATCTGGGTGGGATAAGTAGGGGGGATAAAGGGAGAAGGCTTGTCACCTGCAGCCATGTGTACCAAGACGCTGTGGCCAGGCCGTAGGTTGCCAAAGTCAAAGAGGACCATGTAGGCGGTGATGTAATTGACCAGTAAAGCAGCGGCTTCCTCAAAGGTCATGGCCTCAGGTATCAGGAAGGTCTGGGCCGAGGACACAGTCACCTCCTCCTGCCACATGCCCGACCGGATCAACACCATCACCCGGTCCCCTACCTTGAAGAATGGAAGAAGAGCATCATTCAGTCATTCATTCATTCACCCACTGACAATTTATAACCTTCCACTATGTACAAGGCCCTCTTTCTGGCAATGAAGTCGCAGTAGAAGCAGCAGCAGTAGTTGTTGTAATAATAATAATAATAATATCAACAAAAACAATAACAACTTACCTTTATTGAGTGCTTACCGAGGGCCAGGGCCTATTGTAAGTGCTTTATATAAAACGTTCAATTAATCCTTACATCAGCTCTTTGAGGTAGATACTATCCTTATCTCCATTCTACAGATCTTACACTTCACTGTTGTGTAAGATCCCTGAATGCAAGAAGCTTACAGTTAGGGCGGCACGAAGTGCTGCTGAAGAGATCAAACTGCTTTGGTTAAAAAAATGAGCTCCAGCTGCTGGCGGTCCGGGTTCCGATCCCGGGCGCGCACCAACGCACTGCTTCTCTGGCCATGCTGAGGCCGCGTCCCACATGCAGCAACTAGAGGGATGTGCAGCTACGACATACAACTATCTACTGGGGCTTTGGGGGAAAAAATAAATAAATAAATAAAATTATTAAAAAAATGGGCTCCACTGTTTACTGACAGTGTGACCTTGGGCAAATAAAAATTATTTAACCTTTTTGAGCCCCCGTTTTCCTATGTAAAATAGGGCAGTTATGAGGATTAAGTGGCAAAAAAAAATCACTCAGTGATTTTTAGCCCAATGTCTGGCACATAGTAAGCACTTAGCAGTGTTAGCTAATAATAATCACAATAATGATAACACCAACAGCAAGGAGGGGAGGTCACCAATCCAACAACTGAAGGAAGAAGGCAGGGTGTCGTAAGGGCCATATCAAAATGAAAAGAAAGGTCTCTGAGCAGTTAGGGCTGGGTGCCGTCACCTCAGGAGAAGTGCTTGAGCCAGCACTGGGGGCCCAGAAAACACCTTCACCCAGAGATGGGGGGAGGGGTGATGGACAAGGAGAGCCACACAATCCACCCACCAGGAAAAGGCATTTTTTCCCCTCCTCTCAGCCACCTGCATAAGAGCCTCCTTGCAGGAGGGAAAGTGGGCAAAGAAAATGGAACCTTTCCCTCCAGCTTAGCAACTGGGGTCAAGGGGAGGACAGGAGAAAGGGGGCCAGTCTCAGGAGAAAGGAAGGCCTCTCCTTGCTCTCTGAAGAGAGTGGAGAGGGAGGTGTGGGTGCTGTTCCAGGACAATCCCGGTCTGTCTTGGACCCTGCCAGGAATGTTGGGAATTCTGTATATTAACAAGACTTGGGAGTCCATGGGGAAGGGGGATGGGACTCCCACACACTCCCTTTTTCATGTCCTCAAGCCCCCGCATGCCAGTGATGAGGAGGACTGAGGGCAGGTTGGGATCTCTCTCTGCAAGCACTGGCCTGAGATCAGGTCTGGAGAATGGAGCATTTCACCCCAGGACTCAGGACTAGCCGACTCGGAAATAACCCAGGAGAGCTTGGAAAAGTACAATGGTCAGTCCAGGTCGTGGCCCGTTCCAGGTCTGGCCCATTGCTCACCCCTCAGCCCATCAAAGGGCATGGCCATGATCCCTCCCCAGCCCAGATATCAGGAGGGAGGGAGGGCTCTCCCCACGGAATCCAGCTCTTACATCAGATTCTTGCTCTGGACAGGATATCCTGTATTTACCAAGCGGAAAGTGTGGGGAGGGGAGGTAAGGTGGGTGGCCTTCAGCAGTAACATGAACTACAACTCCCCCTACCAAAAAAAAAAATCCTCTTAGCACCTTCTCAAGAGTGGCATTATTTAGAAGCGGAAAGGGTGGGGCCAGAGCTGGATCCAGGGAGAAGCCCTTTAAGGAGGAGATGTTTTCTTGTACAATAAATCCAAGAATTCCCGCTCTGGGATGTGAGACTGGCAGGACTCGAAAGACGAAGGCTGCATCTAAGGGGGCCTGATTTGAAAAGAAACGCCTAAACAAACGACGTGCAAAGGCCTCACCCCAGGTCGCCCAAAAAGTTGGTCATTTGGAACTCGCTGGTGTCCGGGGTTGTGGCCAAGATGAACGATAAACGAAAAGGAGAAAGAGACCGGCAGAGATGGGCTAACCTGCTCCCGCTGCCACACCCCCTACCCTAGTCCAAATGGACACCGCCAGGATTTCTGAGGGTCTTCGGCAAGGAAGGCAGAGGCGGGTTCTGCTTAAACGTTCCCAAGGTTCCCAAGGGCAGCCCGGGGTCGTGGCCCCATGGCTGAGTCATTGGAGGAGGAGATACTGCAGTCACGGGAGACAGAGAGTCCAAGACAAAGATTCAGAGACCCGGTCTCGCCCCCTTCCACCGCAAGATCAGACTGGCAGTGTACGGCCGGTGGTGGTCGTGTTGGTGGCGAGGTGGCAGGCTCCCACTCCTCCATGATGGGCGTGCCTCTTCTCTTTGGCCCTGCTCTGGGAGCGGCGCCTCACACCCCCACAGACCACGGGGCTGCATGTGACTAGGGCTCTGGCTCGGCCATGCGCCCCCGCCCAACCCCGACTATACAGCTCAAGCTCCCTCGGGGAAAGAGGCACTAACTGTCACTCAGGGTCACAGACCATAATTACCCGGGGAGTATTTGGTGGACAGGGGTACAGGTGTGGTTTTACGGGGCGGGGGGGGGGGCGGGGAGGTCATTGTGCGCATGCGCGTGGGCGCCTTATTGTTTCCCCCCACTACTGCCACCATCGCCGCTTCTGGTCGGCGGCCACAATTAAAAATGGTTGGGGAGGGGGCGATAACTCCATCTCCACCCCCCACCTCTAAATATAAATCCAATTCTCCAGGAGCCTCAGAACACAGGCTCTTTTCCTTCCATGCTGGTCTACCCGGGTTCGTGCCAATTTCCCCCGCTCTGCCACACCCCCCGGCGCCCGCCCACTCGTGCCCCGCTGCCCCGCTGCCCCGCGGCCTGCGCAGCCTTTCCCCGTCCTGCCCTGCGCTGGCCCGCTCACTCACCTTGCGGTCGGTGACTCCCTCGCCCACGGCGATCACGACGCCCGCGCCCTCCAAGCCCGGAGTGACGGGCGGCGGCGGCAGCCGGTCATACAGCCCCTGCCGAGCCATCAGGTCGGCGAAGTTGAGCCCGCAGGCCCGGACGCGCAGCGTCAGCTGGCCGGGCCCGGGGGCCGGGGGCGCGGCCGCTCGGCTCTGCAGCTTCACCTTGTCGTAGCCGCCGAAGCCAGTGAGCACCAGGCAGCGCAGCGGCGGCGACGGCGGCGGAGACGCGGCGGCGACCCCCTCGGAGGCCGCGGGCGGCTGGGCGTCGCTGGCTGCCTCGGCATTCGAGGGCTGCGAAGAGGCGTCTTCTCTGGCCCCTGCCTCGGCCGCTGCCACCACAGTGGCCGCCTCGGCTACCTCTCTCTCGGCGGACATGGCTGGGACTCCCGACGTGCGCGCACAGCTGGACCGAGGGTGCACAGCTGGGGAGGGCGGGGCGCGCGTCAGGCCTTGCGGCGGCTGCTGACTCCTAGCGGGCGGGGCGGGGCGCCGGGCCGGAGGCGGGGCCTCACGCGCGGACTTAAAGGGCCAGGGCCACCGTGCGGGTGCCACGGGAGCGCGAAAAGGAGACAAGGAACGTCTGGGGACAGACCCGCGCGAGGGCATTCTTGGGCTCATGCAGATTGCGATTTTATTTATTTATTTGTTCATAATAAACCTTATGCAAGTTAAAAAATATGTTAAGGGACAGTCTGAAGGACGATCCCCAAACCTGAGCTTACATCAGATTTGGGGAGCCAGCCACCTGTGGGCCGAAACCCTATCAAGTTGTTTCTCAGGCTCTGACTCTACCCATATGTGACCCATTTCGTGTGGTCTTGTAGTGGCAAACTTGGAGCAGGGATATCAAGTCTTTAAAACTTTCCATCTGACTTTGTTAAGGCTCTGTGCCTCAATTTTCCCTTCTGTAAAATGGTGATAATGTTGCTTGCTCTCGTTATCTTTACAGGGTAAACATAAAATTAAGTCGAGTGTCCTCGATTTAAAGAAGCGTTTTTAAAAGGTAAAAGATGCCAGGAAAAAAAGGTAAAAGATGCCATGCAAATGCAAAACAGTGGTTCGATTATTGTTAGACTCCAGATCAAGCCTGAAATGACTTTAGAGCTTGTCTCTGGCTCCAGCAAGGCTGTCACTCTGGGCAGTTCTATCTTCCTCTACTTCCTCCCGGTCTCTGTCTCTCCGAAGAATCCACCAGAGGACGCAGCTCCTCCAAAACTTTCGACCCTGAGCTTGGCTGGAGAAACTCAGTCCACACTTTCCTGCTAGTGCAGGCTCGCCGTTAAGTCACCACAGCCCCAGACTAGGCCATCCGTTGCCATGGGGACGGAAAGCCATGATGTCACCATTGTCCGGGTGGGTGTGTTGGAGTCCATACCCTCATATCCCCAAGACTCCCTGCCCGGACATGAGAGTGGAGGAGGGAGACCAAACCAAAAAGTCTCCCTCCTTTCCCCACCATCTCGCGCCCCCTCCTGTTCAGGAAGTGGATGGCTGCCCACGCGCGTGTCCGCACTAGCAGACCGGCGTGCACGCGTGGGCACGCAGACGGCCGAGCCTCGCGCGTGTACGGCTCCCACCCTACCCTTCAGAACTTCACCCGAACTGCGCTCCGCCCCCATCCCCAAGGAAGTCAAATCAGTCAAATCAGCCCGGCTCGGCCAGCCTCAAACCAGCAGGATCTCACCGGCGTGCTAAAGGCCTGCTCCTGGGCCTCGGTTTCCCCGGGCCCCGCCCAGCTCTTCTGGGCCCCGCCCCCCGGCTGCGCGGGCAGGAGGCGGGGCCGGGGGCGCGGCCGCCAGGCTGAGGGCGGGGCGCAGGAGGGGGCCGCGGGTCCCCGGCAGGGGCTTGGCGCGGGCCCGCGAGATGCCGGTGTCCGTGGCCCGAGCGGCTGCAGCTGCAGCTGCAGCGGCGGGGGTGGCGGCAGCGGGGCCCCAGAGGGGGGCTGCGCAGGGGGCCGGCGCGTAGCCGGGACTATGGAGGGGCAGAGCGGCCGCTGTAAGATCGTGGTGGTGGGGGACGCGGAGTGCGGCAAGACGGCGCTGCTGCAGGTGTTCGCCAAGGACGCCTACCCCGGGGTGAGGGACCCGCGTCTTGGGAGGGGGGCGCTGAGGCCGCGGAGGTGGCTGACTGGGGCCCGGGGGCGGACGGAAATGGGTGCTAGGGTAACCAGAGACGAGAGAGAGGGTCTCGGAGGGCCGGGGGAGGCGTTGGGGTCTCTGGAGGGACTGCAGAGGATTGGGGTGGGAGGAGTTGGGGAGCAGGTGAGATGAATGGGGTTTGGGGGAACCAAATCGTCCCGGAGGGGACGCTAGGGGAATGTCGGGGGTCCAGGGCATCAGAGAGGGGAAGAACTAGGGGCTGAAGGGACCGGGAGCGGGTCTGGGAGCCTAGCAGAGATTCCGCTAAGGCAGCCGCTCCCAGTATCTCTCCTTTGCCCAACACCGGACCAACTTGTGTCCAGGGGCTGGGTTGGACGGGGCGTGGGAATGAGGAGGGCATCTGTCTGGGGTGAAGACTGGAGGCTCTCATCTTGACCCATCCGTGTCTGCAGAGTTATGTCCCCACCGTGTTTGAGAACTACACCGCGAGCTTTGAGATCGACAAGCGCCGCATTGAGCTCAACATGTGGGACACTTCAGGTAGCCAAGTCCCTCGGGGTCACCCTGACTTCCAAGGCCTCCACCCTAACCCCTCCCTTGGCTAGACTCTTAGGCTCCAGGTCAGCTCAGCCCATCCATCCAATTCTAGGAGGAAGGAAAATCAATTTTCTGCTTAAAGCCAGGGAAACTGAGGTAGAGCTTGTGAGCCACATAGAAACGGTGTCCTGAAGGAGAAAGCCCAGTATCCCATCCTCTCAGCTGGATTCTACCTACCTAGGAAAGTTGGGAAGGAATGGCTTTTATTTTGGAACATGTTTCTTAGGAGCTAGGACTGGATTTAGGAAAGACATTTAGAAATTTCTTTGAGGCTCAGGCAACTACTTCTCTAGACTGAACTATAGAAATCTGAGATCAAGTCCCAAGAAGTTGAGAGCGGTCTGCCCCTGCTCCTCCCCCTCCTCCAAAAAAGGAGGAGGGTTTTTATTTTTACTGGCTCCCCTGGAGGGCTTTAGATGTCTGTCAAAGCCCTGAGAGCACATGCAAAATTTTGTGGGAATGTCAAGATTTCATGAGCTTCTCAAAGACTCAAAAAGATTGATTACTTTTAGAGAAACCTCTAGGGAAGTGGAGAGCTGTTTTCTGCTGTTTAACCTCCCCTTTGGCTGCTCTCCTCCTTGGAGAAACACAGACTCCTTGATGAGAATTAATAACTGCTCTTTTCCATTCTCTGCTCCTAGCGTCCCTTGACCAGGATTGCTAAGGTCTCCCATTCCCTTCCAGGCCTCCCACCCACTCAGGACCCTCGTCTGTCCCCTCCCTCCCTGTTTTCTCTTAGGTTCCTCTTACTATGATAACGTCCGGCCTCTGGCCTATCCTGATTCAGATGCTGTGCTCATCTGCTTCGACATTAGCCGACCCGAAACGCTGGACAGTGTCCTCAAGAAGGTGGGAGCCTGGGGAAGCAGGACAGCTAGACTGAGGGGGACCAGAAACCATGGTCTTGGCACAGTGTGGGCCAGGAGAGGGTAGTGACAACTGGGGCATGACCATCAGCTGGAGAGTGTGTGAAGCTCTCATTCTTCCCCCCTACCCCCACTTCCTGGAAATCAGTCCTCAGAGCTGGATACTGCATCTGAGGGAGATGGAAGAGAGCAGGGAGAAGTGTTCAAGGGATTCCTTAATCCACTTTCCCCATCTCCTTGGGTGTGGGAGCCCCAGTTGGAGGGGATGGGAATGCTGTCCCTGGAGCTCTGGAAAGCCCTTTGGTCTCCTCTCAAGGCCCCTATTTCCATGAGAAAAGCCATGGTGAATGGACACAAGTCAGCTAAGGCAGCCCCCGGTTCCCAGGGTTCCCAGGCGCAGGAGGGGAGGGGGGGATTGATCTGTTCCCAGGAACAAATTTGGGAAGGAAGGTGGGAATGGGAAGATTTCCAGGCTGGCAGACCCTTCATGGCCCCTGAGGTAGAAGCAAGGCTCCCGACCCTATAGCCCCAACCCAGCCCTCTCCTCCCTCCCCTTCTCCCACACCCCATCCTGCTTTTAGCTCAAGCCCGCCATCCCCATCCCCTTGCTCACATGGGAGAGTCCAGAGGGGGGCATGGTTCTGCATGCTGTGAGGAAGGGTGTCCTCCTGATGTGGAGCAAGAGTTCACCCTGTGCCTCTTTCTACCCCACCATAACTCTATTTTCTTTCCCCAAATAGTGGCAAGGGGAGACTCAGGAGTTTTGCCCCAATGCCAAGGTTGTGCTGGTTGGCTGTAAACTGGACATGCGGACTGACCTGGCCACACTGAGGGAGCTGTCCAAGCAGAGACTTATCCCTGTTACACATGAGCAGGTGGGCCCCTTGACCTTTGACCTAGTCCCAGCCTAGACCTCTTACCTCTGCCCCTCCGGATCTCTGATTTGGAAACACTCTACTTGGCACATCCCTTGCCCTGGCTTGTGACCTCTGACCTGATCCCTTGACACCTCCCAACCCTCAGCCTCCCTACTTCTTGCTGAGCCGGAGGCTAAGCCCCACAACTTCCTCCATGCACTCCATCCTTCCAGGGCACTGTGCTGGCCAAGCAGGTGGGGGCTGTGTCCTACGTGGAGTGCTCCTCCCGGTCCTCTGAGCGCAGCGTCAGGGATGTCTTCCATGTGGCCACAGTGGCCTCCCTTGGCCGTGGCCATAGGCAGCTGCGCCGTACTGACTCACGCCGGGGACTGCAGCGATCCACGCAGCTGGCGGGACGGCCGGACCAGGGGAACGGGAATGGGACCGGGACCGAGGGCGAGATACACAAGGATCGAGCCAAGAGCTGCAACCTCATGTGAGGGGCCGGGATGGGGCAGAATGTGAGTGAGGAGGGGTGGTGAAGGGCACAACTGTCCCCTGCCTGCGCCCGGGCTTCCTGACCTCCTGACTCTGGCTGGGACTTCAGGGCACGCCGAGTGAGCAATTCTTTTGGGCAGGGGAGCTGGAGGCAGAAGGGTGCCACCATTCCTCACATCCTTGTCACCCTCCCCTCCACAGGAAGTTGAGGGAGCTAGCACGGCAGGCATGGCAGGCATGTGGGCAGGCATGGCAGGCATGTGGGTGTCTGGAGCTGGGATGGGGCAGGAGGGTTGGGGAAGCTGGCATCAAGCAGTGACCTTGGTTCGGTATATGAATGGTGCCTTCCCTCCCCACCCCCAGTCCCCATATCCTGCTCCTGGCTTCCTTCCCTAAGGAAAGTATCCATTCTATGACCTTCCCTTTTCCTCTCCTTTCACTTCTACAGCTGTTCTCACTCATTCTAACCTCCAGGCAACATGCACTAAATTAAAAAGCAACTTCAGAAGCCCCTGCCCCCATCTACCCACCGGTCCTAGCTCCCTCCCTCCCGTCCCCCAACAGTCCCCAAATAAAGCCCGTGTCCATGGAAAATGACTGTGGCTTTAGTTTTATTGCTTTCTAAAAAACCAGTCTACCAATTTCTAGCAGCAGAAGGAAAGTTAGACTTCAGGAAGGACTTTCCTGTCTATGCCTACAGATGGAGCAGAGGAAAAAGCTGTGGGCTGGAGCAGCAGTGTCCTTTTAGGAGCCAAGGTGGGGGAGTGAGATAGCTTGGGAATATTCATCTCCGTTAATGAGACAATCCTAAGGCCATTAGGGGGTTTTAAAGTGGACTGATGTGCAATTCATTACTCAGCCCAGCTGGGGCCCCCTGCTAGTGTGGGAGGGGTCCTGCTGAAGTGGTCCAGGCCCCTTGCTCACCATCTCCACCCCTAGCTTGGAATCTGATGGTGCCTTGGGAATTGTGGGGCTAGAAAGGGCATCAGAAGCCTCCACATCACAGAAGTAAACCATGTGCAGGGTGAAGTTTCCCAGCAGGACAGTAGTTTGATTCTGGGGTCTCCTCAGAGGTGGGGGCAGGGGCTCTTACCCTCTTTCCATCCTGAGCTCCTTGATGATTTTGGAGGGAGCGTCAGCAGTGAGTTTAGGGTCACACCCCGACACCCAACTCCCTGGAGAAGGGAAGCCGATGGAGGGACCGGCTGGAGCCCTTGTTGTCAGGAAAGACAGTGCTGGTCTGTTTTCTCCAGAGTCTCGTTTCACATTGTCCTGTATTCCCTCCCTGGCTCTGGTCCCACTGGCCTCTTTTCGGTGACATTCTCCCCCAGGAACTATCCCTGGCCCTCCCCTCCCCCAGCCCCAGCCAGTTCTTCCAGACACACTCTGGGAGAGAACACAGACCTTATTACCCTCCCATCTGCTGGGATCCCCCTAATTCACAGCCTGTCCCTCCCTCATTCATTCAGCAAATATGTACTGAGCACCAACTGTGTGCCAGACACTGGCTTGGGATTCTGAAAGGACCAGTCTCCATGCTCTGGAGGCTAGCCCAGTGGGGAAGAGAGGTACCCCAGGTGTGGCCATGCCTTGGCTATGGGAGCCAGTCATCTCAGCTAGGTCCTGAGGGTTGAAGAGGAATTTGCCAGGCAGGGAAGGGGTAGGAAAGGCACCCTGGGTAGAGGGTGCAGCATGTGGAAACAAGTGGAGATGAGAAAGCGTATGGCACAGTTGGGTTGGGGCTGCCATGGAGGGGAGGGCAGAAGAGAAGGCTGGGAAGGTACATCAGGGCCACTGCAGGGCCCACAAAGGAACCAGGACTTCATTTTAAGGATGTAAGGAGGCACCAGGGATTTCAAGCAGAGAATGAAGTGACCAGATTTGGTTTTCAGATAGACGGTTATCTGCATGAAGTGATGGGGGTTGAGGGATTCAGCTCTGAGATGTGTCATTTAAAATAGCCTCTCCTTTCCCTATGCCAGGGCCCAGTCTTGAGAGAAAAGGAAATCCCACACACTGCTGGCTCATCAGACACCCCTTTCCCTCTCACTCCTGCAGGACCCTCTCCTGGTCCATCTCAGCCAGTCTCCTCAAGGATTCTGGGACAGCTTCAAGAGCACTGGGCACCCCACCCTCTCAAACCGAGACCTGGTTAGGGGCCTCTGAGACCCTCCTCAAGGACACTGAGTCCTAGATTGAGGGTACTAGAGAAGGCTGGGGCCCAGCTAGGTGGCTCTGTCTGGTCCCAGAGGACTGACCCTTCCCCCACAGGGACCTGCCATACCATTGATTTGGGATTTTTGGTCCTGTGGCTTCTTTTCTCCGCTTTGGACTTTGGTAGAAAGCAGGCTCAAGCCTGTAGCTGCCAAAGTGCAGTGTTTGTGCCCCCTCTCTTCTCCAAACCTCCCTCTCTTGCTGTGCTCAGGGAATGCAAAAGCATTTCAATATCTGCCTAAAGCAAACATAATTAGGAAGATAAATCAGCTGGAGGAACCCCCAAAGTTTAATCTATTTCCAGTACCACTGGGAACAGATTTTGGTCGCCTCTGCAGGTCTGTGTTGCCAGACATTTTATTTTCTGGGAGAGGGCTGTGCCCCTGGGCTGAGGAGCCCAGTAAGTGGGAGGAGAGAATGGGGATATTCCTAGATCCTGAAAAGCCCCTGTGGGCTGGAGGGAGGGAACCTTACCCCCACCGCCAACACAGATGCAGGAGTCAGACACAGCTTCCTCTTCTGCAGCTGTTTCCCCCACAAATTAGACACCCGTTTGGGAAACAATGTAGCCTCGTTAATCATTTAATGAAATAAACAACTAATCATGCTGCGATGCTGCCAGTGTTTCTTAACCTCTGCAATCAGCCCGCCCAGGAGGGAAGAGGGAGAGGGAAGGGATGGGGCAGGGACTTGGTCTAATCTCTGAAATGCTTCTGCTGACAGAGGGTCATCCCCTGTGACTCCAGCCTTCCCAGGAGAGAGTCATAAAAAGAGCTTGAGATTTGGAGGCAGAGGTCCGAGGGCCTGGGTCCTAGCTCTGCTGTTTCCCCCCTGGGGAGCCTTTGGCGAGGCCCTGCGCCCCTCTGAACCTCATTTTGGAAAAGGGAGCTTATCACATCTACCTTGTGTTGTTGAACAAGATCCAGAGAGGGGAAAGGATGTAGAAAAGCTGTTTGACCCTTTAAAGGGGCCTGAGCTGATGTACAACATAGACATCTGGGCTTGAGTGCTTCTGAGCTGGGCCTGAGGGAATCAGGAAAGGCTTCTTGGAGGGGGCTTCTTGTGCTGGGGATTCAAAGGCTGGAGGAAGGCCAAAAGACAAGGGGGAGGTCGCTGTGTCTCATTCCCACACCTATCCTGCGGGCTAGAGAGAGAGCTTTAGTGACTCCTCCAAAGGCTGAGGTCCTTTGGTCCCCATTTTTCTGAACTCCCCCCATTACCTTTTCTTAAGTCTCTGGGTGAGGACCCCATGTTGCAGTAGTGAGCCCACCCCAGATATACTCAGACGGGTCCTGCAGGCTGAGGAAAGTGGGGGGAAGGGGTCACATCCCCGAGGTTCCCGGTGGATACCAGATCCCTGGCAGGCAATCCTGGTACAGCTCTCTCCCCCTACACTCCTCTCTCTTCCCCAGGAAAGGGGTTCAGCTCTTCTGAGTATCCCTCCTTCCCTCTCTGCCGACAAAGGAGTTTCTTCTACACCGTGCAGCCCTTCTCCTGCCTTCCTACTTCCAGCTGGCTTCCCAGGTCTCTCTCCACCTCTAGTCAATCCCCTACTCCCTCTCCTTAAGGCTGGGGGTGAGGGTCAGAGAGAGGGGAGACTCCAGGTCCAGGCTGGTGGGGTGATTCCCAAGCAGCTACCCTCCCACAGCCAGAGAGACAAGAGAGACACATACATAAGTGCCCCTCCCCCCCAAGAAAATGCCTCTGCTGTTGACTCCTAAATAACAGATGTCTGTCTGCATATTAATGAGATTGGACAAATAATTGGTGAGTTTTTCATTCAGTGTCAAAATTAACCCGGAGGCCTTATGTTCATGCACACAGACACCCACCCACCCCCGACTCTCCCCTTCCTCCAGAGCACAATGAGACAGACGCAGATGCTGGCAAGCTTGATCCACAAAGGGGAGGGCAGAAAGGGAACTGGGAGGAGGTGTCAGCAGGAGGGAGACCTCCACAGTCTGAGTCTGGGTTTGTCAGGTTTCTCTGTCTTCATCAGTTTCCCCAGCCCCCTAGGGGCAAATCTTGCATTTGTGAGATTTCACCACTATGCAGTAGGGGCCCAGAGGAAGACGGGAGCCAAAGGGTAGAGAGGCTTGTGGCGGGAAGCAGGCCCTGCCTAGAGGGGAGCAACAAAGCAGTGGCTTCCTTCAGTGAAGTTGTGCCTCCCATGAGCCTGGAATCAGCAGGCCCCTTACCCTGCTTTAGCCCCTGTGCCAGGATGTGAGGTGGAAAAACTGAGATTTTGGAGTCAGACAGCTACCATATGCCTGCTGCGTGCTCTTGTGCAAGTTACCCAACCTCGGGCCGGCCCCGTGGCTTAGCGGTTAAGAGCGCGCGCTCCGCTACTGGCGGCCCGGGTTCGGATCCCGGGCACGCACCAACGCACCGCTTCTCCAGCTATGCTGAGGCCACGTCCCACATACAGCAACTAGAAGGATATGCAACTATGACACACAACTATCTACTGGGGCTTTGGGGGAAAAAAAAGGAGGAGGATTGGCAATAGATGTTAGCTCAGAGCCGGTCTTCCTCAACAAAAAGAGGAGGATTAGCACGGATGTTAGCTCAGGGCTGATCTTCCTCACACACACACACACAAAAGTTACCCAACCTCTCTGAGCCTCTCACTCTCCTTGTCTCTAAGTACACCTACCTTGCAAAATTGAAAGGATGAAATGAGATAAAGTGTGTCATGTGTCTGTCTTAGTGCCTGGTTTATAATAGGCCACAACACATATTTGTTCTCTCCCCACCTATCCCCAAAACACACCAAGACAGTTTCAAAATTGCTGCCTCTCCTGCCAGACTCACCCTTGTTAGGGCAGTGGCTAATTAGAAGTTTAGTAATTATCCGAGCTGCCTGTAAACTGGGAGGAGAAGATACAGCGAGGGGCAGGAACAGAGAGGAGATTAGATAGAAACAGGAGAGAGAACTGGTGGAAACCAAGGCCTGGAGTAGGAGGAAAGAGACCATAGAGATCTAGAACCACAAGCCAGGAATGGAGGCGGTATTACAGGCAGGAGGAGTGAGACCTGGCATGAGTCTAGAATCTAGACTGTAGGTTCTAGAAGCCCCAGTTCTGCCATGAACTCACTGTTTGACCTTAGCAAGTATCCCCTCTTAGCATCTCAGTCTCCTCATCTGTGAAATGAGGGGATTGGTTTGCTCTCTAAGGTCCCTTCTCATTGTGTGAGGAGTCCCAGTGGCCTGAGCTAGCAAGGCTTTCCCCCTCCCCCCACACACACTGCGGCCCATCAGTCACTCTTACTCTGTCTCCTCTCTCCCTTGGTAAAGGGATCTGCTGCACCAGCAAACAACTGTCCATTGTGTCCTAATGAGGGACGAGCAGGGAAAACCAATCACTTATGATGCAAAT